GGGGCCTTTCTGGGTGGAGTTTGCATGTTCTCTCCGTGCATGCGTGGGTTTTCTCCGGGTACTCCGGTTTCCTCCCACAGACCAAAAACATGCATGTTAGGCTGATTGGTAACTCTAAATTGTCCCTAGGTGTGAGTGAGAGAGTGAATGGTTGTTTGTCTCGTTTGTCTCTATGTGGCCCTGTGATGGACTTGCGACCTGTCCAGGGTGTACCCCGCCCCTCGCACAGTGATTGTTGGACATGGGCACCAGCGACCCCCGTGACCCAAAAAGGAATAAACGGGTAAAGAAAATGGATGGATGGATGGATATATATATACATATATGTGTATATGCACGTGTGTGTGTGTATGTATAAAGTGTAATGCTACCAAGAAAATCAATAAAGCTATTTATTTTAGTTGACCGTTAATAATCTACACTAAATTCCTCATTTAAGATGAGATAAGAAAATAATAAGATCACTTTTTTCCATCATATTTCTCTCATTTCCATATTTCCATATTTTGAAACATCACATTTATTAGAATTGGAAATGTGTGACCAATATAAATGCAAATGAAGCAATCATCTACCCGACTTCTTATTTTGATGTAGTTTTGTCCTGAATGCTTTTGTGCAGACTTACTGATTTGTGTCATGTTGAGCAGTAGAGCTCTTCATATTTCATGTTTTGTGTACCATTTTAATAATAAAAAGAATAGGTAACATTTTTAAATCATAACTAAACTTGTATTGATTGGATTTATATGCATTTCTTATAATCAATGGTACCTGAGTGCAACTCTCTGTCCTTCAAGGACCCTCATCTCATGGGAGTATCTCGTGATGAGAGGAGGCTCACAGAGGAACTCCTCTTCAGGGATGGCCCAGAAATAACGACCAGCGAGATGCTGGGGGGTGGCACAAGTCTCCAAGTCATCCTCTCGGTTCAGCCTCCTGAGCCAGAGCAGCTCACAGTTACAGTGGAGAGGGTTTCCACCAAACGACAGGGCAAAGGAAGAGGGGTTCAGGATCCCCGATGTCGCTAGGACCTAAGAGTGTGACAAAAAATAACAATAAAATTAAAGTAAAGCTTTGCTTTGAAATATTGTAACATTTAACTCCACGTTTTAACCAGTTTGCATCCAGCTTGACAAACGGTGCAAACTCCAGAAAATTAAATCAGAATCAGCTTTATTGTCATTGCACCGAAGCACGACAAAATTACATTTCAGTACAGCCCGTCCAACAAACGGACATGGGGAGACGGAAGTGTCTGAGGCTGCAACTTCATGGGAGGCGCTGCCCTTTTTGTTTAGACAAGAAAATAAAAACACGAAGGAAGAGGAGTTGTAAAAAAAAATTACTTTCACACTGTGTCCTAGATGGGACACAGTGTGAAAGTTGAAGAAAAAGAAACCTCAGCAAGCAGGAGTGAGAGGGAAAAGTGTCTGCCTTTGTCGAGCGCAAGCAGGAAAAAAGATAAGATATAAACTGCATGTAATAAAAATACTACATTCCAACTAAAAGCTAAAGTTGGCATTAATAAAAAAATACTTACAACAGTAAATTCCAGAGAAAATCACTGGTATTTACAATTCAATTCAATTCAAAAATGCTTTATTAATCCCAAAGGGAAATTATTTGTTGTTGTAACTCGTTATCCTCATTTCATTAAGAGATGTTATAGATACTGATGCTATAGGCAGGAAGGATTTCTTGTAAAGGTCCATCCCACAGTGGATCCTAAGAAACTGGCTGCAGATGCTGTCCGATCCGTCCACCCAGACTCGGCTTGCCTCTCGGTTTCCCTCGGGCTGTAGGACCGTCCGAATACCAGGCAGAACTACTCCCAGTGCGATGGCCACTCCTCCCAGCTGTCTGTCGAGCTCCTCATTGCTGCGGACAGCCAACTGTAAGTGCCGAGGGACGATCCTGTCCTTCCACTATCATGAGCCATGTTTCCTGCTAGTTCCAGGATTTCAGTGGTCAGGCACTCGAGCACAGCTGGCAGGTAGATGAGAATGCGTCCACAGAACATCCTTTTCAATTCATTTGAGATTTGGGGCTGTAGTTGAGTTATTATTTGAGCTTTTGAGATGTTAATCAGCTGCTGTTAGTTGTAGAAAACTGCTTTGTTTCCAAGGTTACGCATTATAACACTAACTAAACAAAGTTTCAGTAAAAATCCTTCCAGCTGCACAGCATCCGATACCAGAGGAAACAATCATCCAACAAATGTGATTTACATCCAGAAAAAGAGGAATTAAAGTTTCCAAAAGCAAAATCTCAGAATGAAAGGAACATAAACATAAACCCATACATAAACCATAACATACATAACATAACCCATACATACATACATGAACCCAATAAGGTTAGAACGTGTTTTTTTTTTGCCACTTCAACTTTAAAAACACACGTAAACAAATGATTATGAAATAAATGTGTTTGTTACAACAACCAAATATCCTGACATAGTAAATATTTTAATAAATCCTGTATTTTTAAGTCATTGCAGGTATTTGACAATGGGTTTAAATAATTTATCTATAGTGACGTTACAACATTCATCTGATCTACATTTTTTAAAAGCAAAGCAAAAAACAGAAAATATTTAAAATATACCAATCAAACACCATCTATAGGACAAGATACTTCATTGTTGTAACTGTGGTAAAACGTTATTCTTTTAAATGACTTAATTCATTTAAAACAAATCTCCATTGCTTGCATCTCAACTCTAAATGAGTTACATATTCAATTTTGTTTTTATTAATATTTTTGTTGTTAGCATCATGGGTACATCTTGATGTACTCACTGAGAAAAACACAAACTTAAGCTTGTTTTTCTGACTGCAAAAACCCTGCAAGAAAATATCTGAAATGTAATATTTTACAGCCTCCAGTATTCTTCCTTTAAAAAAGAGCTGTGATTACATAGACAAAACAAAAAAAATGCTTACAAATATTCATTACCGAACAAGACATTACGATTAATTAACTACCTGAAAACAAATAATCTATTTTGGCTTTTAACTTGCAACTGCAGTGGCACAGTTTTTTATTTTATTATGATTATAAATGTGCTTTGGGGTGGACCAATGAGAGTACCTGCGCCCGTTGAAACAGCGGGTCTGGTGGTAGCTTCTGAAGTTTATTAGAGGTGACATCCAGCCGGTTGAGTTTCTGTAGAAGGGAAAAGGTTCCCTCTGGAATAAAATCCAGCATGTTGTGGTCTAAACTCAGCGTGTGGAGGCTTGTCATTTTCTGCAAAAACAGAAAATCAGACCGCTTTTAGTCTTTTGATTTTCATAAAAGACAATTTTTAGTTTGATAAACATTTAATCACAGTGAGAGATTAAAACATATGTATATGTTTACTGTCCATGTACTACTAACGCTTAATTTGATACTATCAAAAGATAAAATTACATTTTATTTGTTTGAATTAATCTTTTCTTTCTTGGCTTTCAGACATGTAGCCTCAAAGTGGTGCAAGGAATTAAAATGAACTGACCTGGATGGCCTCCCATGGAATGGAGTCCAAGTTATTATAGCTGAGGTCCAGTTCTTCCAGTGCCAGCAGGTCGTTGAACGCTCCCTGGTGGATCAGAACCAGCTGGTTGTTGTTCAGAATCAGGTGGTGAAGCTTCGTCATTCCAATGAATGTATCATTTCCTATTCTTGTCAGACGGTTACTGTAAGATGTTAAAGCAAAATAATAATTATTATAAAATAATCTCTCACGATGCTTCAAGACAACTGTGTGATTATTATTATTTTATCACATGTGGATTCATACCTGTTGAGGTGCAGTGCTCTGAGATTTTCCAAGTCAGCAAAGGCATAAGGTGTAATGAAAGAAATGGTGTTTCTGGATAACGTTAGGTCCACCAGTCGTGTCATGTTTGCAAAATCTTTTCTTTTTACACTGCCAACAAAAATAATCACACTTAAAAACGAGACAAATGATAAATCACCGACAATTTTCCTATTATAAAACCACATCTTGTGCAGCTCCCATACATATATGATTAAAATGCACGGCCAATATTTAAATAGAAAACTAAAACTGTCTTGCAGTTTTCTTTTTAACTTTAGCAAGAGCATATAGCACATATGGTTTCATCCTTCTTAGCTTATTAAATATGTGTAAGCATTAACAACTTTCATCAGGAGATGGCCTTGAGCTGCTCCACTGACTATAAACTGACCATGACTTACTCTTGAGCCTTGAAAAAAATCCATTTTATTTTAACAATTCAAATGAGCTTTATTTAATTCCAGAGGCAGAGGATAATATGCCTTTATGTTCACTAAAGAAATCCTTCTGTCCCAAAATTCTGCCAATGATTCATCATAACTAGAAGGCTCTGGTTGTCACCTCATGACATTATCGATTAGCATCTCTGCACCTAGGATGGAATAAATATTGCTCATTCTGACATGTTAAGATGGAACTTGTCACACCTTTTTAGGTGTTATGATAAATATTCACACAAATATTAGTTTATTGAATATATTTAAGAACAACAGGTTATGGGGATGTTTATATCTATAGGATCTAAATGTGGACAAAAAACTGAAAAAGCTTCACTATTACAGTCACACATATAATGCAGTAAACTAAATAAATGGATGCAAATATGATGATCAAGTCCTGAAAGTAAAAATAATTGATATATTGTTTGTTACATAATGAAAATCATTAGTTGGTGCTTTGTTTAATAGGACTCTTGTTAGTGAGTGTTTTCTCTACTTTTACTATATTATACGTTGTTGTTAAGCTATTTTTAATGATAAAACATTTAAACACAATCTCCGTTCTAAATACAGTAGTCCCTCGCTATTTTGAGGTTCGACTTTCGCGAACTCGCTCTATTGCTGGTTTTCAAAGTAAGATTGAACATGAGAAAAAAATAACATAAAATGTACAGGACTTGTGATTGTAAACTTTAATATTATTCACACGATTGGGATGGTACTGGATACTGTATGTTGCAAACGTAACGAAAAAATTAAATACTTCGGCCAGGCGCCGCTATTTGTAGTTTTCTTTCAATAAGCCTACACTGTATCCCCACTCATAACAACAAAATGTCCCAGAAGCCAACAGTGCCCCACCCAGAAGCCCCATTGCCTTTTGCTGAATTTTATTTTATTTTTTCTTTCATCTGCTCCCTGCCTTGGGCAACACCACAGCAAACTAAGTCACACGAAGACTTGGCAAATCTTTTTACGTCAGATGCCCTTCCTGACGCAACCACAGACCACCAAGCTACCACAGCATTCTGTGTGGAGCAGAGAGCTGCTATCTAGGGTGCCCGGGAGAGCAGATGGTGGAGGTTAAGGGCCTTGCTCAGGGGCCCAGAGTGGGGCAAATGAGGGTGGGGGCAGGTGTGGGTGCATCACCTATCCCACCCACATTTTTGCTGTTGTCGGTACCGAGAGTTGAACCGGCAATCTTCCGATCACAGGCCCACCTTCTCTAACCTCTGCGCCACCATCCCCCTTTCTGAAATACTAGAGGGAAAGTTTTGATCTGACTGGAAAAAGTTTGGCACTTATTACAGTGACTTCGGCGCCCAGAGTATGCAGAGAGCTGCACGGAGCCCACTGAACCGGACCTCCAGACCCATGGGTGAATTTTGAGAGCTGGTAGCTGGCCCACGAGGACTTCAGAGCGGGACGCACACCGACAAAGGTCCGGCCCTCCATCCAGAACCCACTGCCACTACCCTGAGCAAGAGAGTCAACCAGAACCAGCAGGGTAGGTCTGCAGAAACTGAACCAGGTCGGAGCGCAACCCAGCCACTGCTGTTCTGCAGAGCTGGTGAGTAAAATTCAGTAGCTACATATAAGTATGTTGTTAAAATGAGTAGGTTAAAGAGTTTAGAAACATTGATTGTGAGCTTGGTCGCTGCAGGGTAGGTCTGCAGAAAGAGAACCGAGTTGGACTGGAACCGAGAGCTGCTGCTGTTCTGCTGAGCTAGTAAGGAAAATTTAGTACCTACATATACAGTACTGTACGTGTGTTGTTAAAATGACATAGGTTTGAGATTAAAACATTGAAAACGGGTGAGAAGGGTTTCTAAAACCTATATATATATATATATATATATATATATATATATAATTACTAAAATAAATATAACGTTGCTACTTTGTGGATTTTCACTTATTGTGCAATGAGGGATGGGTACTGGAACATAACCCCTGCAATAAAAGAGGGACTACTGTATTATCAAAAGATCATCAAAGATAATGGTATGTTTTAATGCTATCTTGGGCTGTAATGTTAAGTATCCGCACTGACCACTGAAACAATGGGAATGACTGTAATCATTTTGGTATGTTAGAAGTTGTTGCAGTTCGGCAGTAACTGTCTTAATTTGGATTAGTAAACCGTAAAAACTGTTAACTGTGATATAAACTTCACCTTGTGATGAAGTTATCAGCCAGCCGTAGCTCCACTGTGTGTCGGTCAATATTCGGGGGTACAAACAGTAGACCTTTCTTTGCACAGAGGGTTGCCAAGTTGGGTGACAGAATCTGACAGACGCAGCGCTTTGGGCAGATCTGTGCACGCACTGCCATGGCAACTGCCAGCATCACGCACAGCAACAGCCTCTCCATGGTTACCATTCTCACCTGGACACAGCACCTGAAAGTGAGACAGGCAGGGGCAAAGAGAGTGGGGAAGAGACATGGTAAGTGATGCGAAGTTAACAGCATAAAAAGGTTTAACCTTTAACTATTATGACTTTCAAACAAAACAAAGTCTAAAATTATTATAACAATAATAAAAAAAATAATTGAATTATTATAATAAAACTAGCTTCTTTTCCCCATTTCTATATTTTATGTCTTCATGATGCTCTAGACTGATTCACTACTCATAACATTTGAACTGTGTGAATGTTTATGAAGCATTCATACTATTGTGATCCATTTTACTTCCATACTTTTTGGGCACAATTCCGCAGTTTTCAAGTTATTTCAACAAATCATAAATCAAAACTTTCAGCTCTTTCAGGACTATCCAGCTTTGACTTTTGGTATTGGTGCAACTTTAGCTTTTTGAAATATTTAGCCTTTTCTACCATTTTTTTTCCTCACAGGAAATGAATTGAGCTTATTTTACATCTTTCAAATATTTACATCTGTTTATAACCTTTTACAGCCCCTTTCACAGTTTGTTCTGTTTCAACTACTTTCAGCTTCCTGCATGGTGCAAACTTAAACAATTGTTTCAGCTATTCTCTGCTAATTTCAGCTGTTTTGTGCTCCTGTCAGATTATTCCTGCTAACTGCAACTTGTTGTGCTTCTTCTGACTTCATTCTGCTAATTTTAGCTTGTTATGCTCCTTTAAGTTTATTTCTGTAAGTTTCAGCTTTTTCTACAATCTCAACTAATATTTAGCTGTTTAATGCTATTAAGCTTTTTCAACTAATTCCACATTTTTTTGCACTCATTTAAAGGGTTTTCAGTATAATTCAGCAAAACTGTGCTCTCTCTGCTTTCTTCTTTTAACTTCAGCTTGTTTCTACTTTTTAACTACTTTTCAGGTCATTAATTTTTTATTTTTTTGTAATTTCAGCTTTTTTCCCCTCAGAAAATTTCCATTTTGTGTGCCCATTTCTGCTTCTTTCAGCCTAGTTGGGTAAATGTGTTCTTCCTGCTTTCGTCTGTTAATTAAACTTGTTCTACCCTTTCAGTTACCTCATTAGCATTTGTTAAGCTAATTTCAGCTGTTTTCAGATAAATTCAAGTTGTTCATGGTAGTTTCTGCTGCTTTCAGGCTGATTGAACTTTGTTGCTTTCAGGCTAATTAACTTTGTTGTGTTAATTTCAGCTTGTTTTTTTCATTTCAGCTTTTTTCTGCTATTTCAGCTACTATTTAGCTGTTTATATGCTATGTTTAAGCAAATGCCACCTTTTTTAGTTTTTACTAATTTCAGCTCTTTCCACGTCCTTCTGGTAGTATAAACTTCTTTCTGCCTTTTGAGCTATTTTGCAGCTATTTTTTTGCTAATTTCAGCCTTTTTTTAGCTAATTTTCTATTTCTTGTGCTCATTTCTGCTTACACTTAATTCAGCAAATATGTGTTCTTTCTGCGTTCTTCTGCTACTTTTTTCTAGTTCTTCATTTCAGCTACATTTAGGCTTGTGTGTTTAGCCATTCTCAAATGTTTTTCAGCAAGTTTTTCCTGCAATAAGCATTCACACTGCATTTTCATAACAAATGCAGTTTATCTACCTATTACCTTAACATACTTGTTTTGGTCAGAGAGAAGATCGCCTGCAGAAAACCCACACCTGCACAGGAAGAACATGCTAACTTGCCTAGAACATTACGTCTATATCAAATAAAAGCTTTGCCACTCTGAGAGCTGACTGTTAAATAATGGACTAAGTGTTGCAGAAATGTGGCGACTGCAGAATGAAGGATAACTTGCTTTCATGAGTCACAAATTAGCACTTAAAACAATCTTCTGAATATGTGTAACATGATTCTTAGACTCAGAATATTTTCACTACTTAAAGTGGGATTTTCCATTCCATTTCAGACATTGCTTATTTCTTGAACAGTATGAAAAAAAAGTGCATGCAAACATGCACATAATTACCATTTTTTGTAATGTGAACCTAACTTGAGCTTTACTACATAAAAATGAAGCAGAGAAGATAAACATGTTAGAGCTGCAAGCTTTTTTCAGATAAATACTTACTAAATTAAAAAAGTTAAACTCATGAGGACATTATGACTTTCTGAAACTGACATGAAGCTAAACAATCATTATTTATACCAGTTAGAAGCAACTAATATACACTCAGGTCCACCCCCATGCAGCACACATGCACACACAGAGTGCAGATGTGCACAATTTGCACTAGCCCTCTCACATGACCACCACCCCCCACCCCACCCCCCACCCCCCCCACACACACACACACAGAGCAACTTCCTCTCCAGCTGTTCCTCACATGCATCTTCCATTTCTGTCTTTGAAGGACAGAACACAACTTTCAGATTGTTATCAGACTTTCAACAGTTTGATAGGAAACAGGAATGTTAGTGTTTCATAAATCAAATGCAATAAATAATGTACAGTTATAAAAACAAGTGTGCAAATAATTCAATCCCTTCTGATCTTTTTCCACTTTTGACCCAACAGTTTGTTAGGATATAAAACTCCGACTTAATCACTTGTGAGAATAAATAATATTTAAAGATAACGCAGAAAATACTTGCTAACCATCTCTCACACACCATACCTTTTGGTACCACTTTACAATAAGTCTCTCCTTAAAGATGGCTAATAAATAGTTTATAGATACATTATTAATTCCTCTATGAACACTTTATAAACCATTAATACTTGTTTATTATTATTATTAAGGGTGACAGAGGGACAAAACTGACCAGTTTCTTGCCAAATAGTGAGTCAAATCTGTTCATCTATATATTTCATCTAGAGTTGTTATATTAAACATTTCAGACTAAGCTACTACCTTGTAAGCAGAATAAGCATTTGTAAACCTAGGCTTTTTTGAGGATACAATATTAGTTGTAGATGCTTACAATGAAGTGATAAAGTAAAATATTATATGCTAAATAAATTAGGTTTGCAAATACTTATTGTGCTTACAAAGTAGTAACTTGGTCTCAAATGTTTAGTATAATAACTCTATTTTTTTTTCATTTACCCTTTATTTATCCAGGTAGTCTCATTGAGCCACAAGAACTAATTTTCAAGAGAGACCTATTTAGGGAGCAGATGGGGGTTAAAGGCCATGCTCAAGGCACAGAGTGGGGTGAATGAGGGTGGGGGCAGCTGTGGGTGCTTCACCTACCCCACCCACATTTTTGATGTTGTCAGTACCGGGGCTTTCTTTCGATCACAGGCCCACCTTCTCTAGCCTCTGCGCCACCACTCCCCCGAACATATATGAAAACATATATAAAATATATAAGTGAACAGATGTGGCTCACTGGCAACAAACTGGTCAGCTTTGTCGGTCACTCTTAATTAATGCATAATAAGCAGTTATTAAAGATGTATAAAGTGTTTATAGAATAATTAATTATTGTAAACTATTTATTAGTCATCTATAAGGGGAGCCTTATTTTAAAGTGGTACCAAACTTTCTGACCCAAACAAAGAAGCAGGTAAGCAAAATGGAAAGATGGTTAATTAAAAAATATAACAAGCAGCACATATAAAGAGATTCAAGTTGAAAAGAAACAACATTTAAATTGTAAAAGAAGGGTAAAAAAAAATCCTGTAGTCATATATATCTAGAATTACTCGTTCCAGATTAACAGAAGAAGAGTTTGAGTATTTTATGTGTAAAATAAATCATAAACCTTCTGGAGAAGTGCTTTAATCGGAGGTTGCATCACTTGGACATACTCAGATTCTGCAGTAATATTTCCCATCATTTGACGTTTTCCCCACATAAGACACACATATTCCAGATCATAATTCCAGGAGCTTAATACTTTAATTGGGAAGAAAATAATTCACAAAACACAGACCATCATTTTCAAACACTTTTGAATCTCAAACTCACTAAGAGTTTATTTGATGCGCTGGAAAACGACTTCATTCGGTGCTCAAACTCTCCAGCTATAAATACAGAACAAACAGGAACAAACTCATAGTGAAAGAAAGTGTGAATAAAGAAAAAGAAAGCCTAACGTATTATTCGTTCATGCAGTATTTTTTGGCCAAGAATTGTATTTTTCATTCAATCACTACATCAGTTTGATTGAGAAGCTATTCATTTTGTTCTGGTCCAGTTGAGTGCTCCCTGGTCTGAACACATTGTGTGTTTCTCGGTGTAATTACGGAGCTGAAACTAAGTGCCATGTTGAAGGTCATGCAATTCCTGTTTATCTTTCTCTTTATGTGCGAGTGCAGAAAAAAAGAAGAGCACAAAGGCAAAGGAGCCGGTAAATAGAGCACTGGATGACTCATATATACTGGTTCTCTACACACACACACACACACACACACACACACAGAGGCAGATAGCTTGTAACCCTTGTGACATGAAAGCAGATATCAGCTCATTAATTACACACAGAAATGACTGTAATGAGAGTAAATAAGTGAGAGAGACAGAAATGGAAAGGAAATGAGGAAGACTTATCAGAGAAGGAGAGAAAAAATGAGAGATCAGAAGGAAGCTAATTAAAATGAGTGCTGAGGTGTGAAAGGAAAACTGGGGGAAAGGGTGTATTTAATTTAGATTGAGGAGATGAAGTAGCCTTGTCATGCGTTTAGGTTTCATGCAAACCACAAACAACAAAAAATGATGGTTTATATTAGATATGTCCAGTGTAACATTTGAGCAGAATTGAATTCGGTTTCACCTAAATTCCTCCACACTCAAGTTTCTGACTGCTGTGCTGCTCAGTGTGACATGTAGCACCATAGGATCAAGTGAAATACCTAATTAACCAAAGGGATTGGGAGCGAGGAGGACAAATTAAGCTCTGTTTGTAGTCAGGTGTAAAATGTGATTCCGTTTCACACGGGCACAACCCGTTTCATCTTCTTCTTTGAAAGCTGTCCACTGAATTCCCCAGAAAGTCCTCACCAGCCCCTAAAAGCTTGTTTCACCCCTGGCTCGCT